TAAGTCTTTTCTTAATTGATCCGTTCATTTTCTTATTAATTTGAATTATGCCTTAAACTGTGCAAACGACGTATATGTTATTGATTTTGGGTAATCGTGAAATTTGTCCGTTTTTTATCCTTTTGAAGAAGTGGTTAGTTCCAAGTTCGTTAGTTTGTTGAGGGTTCCGTGTCAATCTGTCTCACAACAATTCGACCATTTTTTTTCTCTTAGCTAGGTATGTATTACTAGAACAATTGATGCAGAGTTGCTTTACCTCAGGTAAGAACGAACGCTTCGTCGAAATGGGTGGATTTTATACTAGCGGAAGGGAAAAAAAACGCCAGCTCAATTGACGTAAGCCCTTTCTGGGGTCAACGTGCGAGACGATAGTTTCCGCCAAAAAGGATTCCGCCCAGGTAAACTGTTTAAACCTTTGTTGTACCAATAGACACTTCCATGTCAGCCGATGGTTTATGGCCCTGCGGCATTCAGAGCCGAAATGCGGAAACTTCAATATTACACAGTCCCAAACTCAATCTAGGGATGAAATCAGGGGCAGACCACCGGCGCACCAGGAACATCAACAAATTGGCAAATCCCAAAACTAATTGTACTTAGCGAGCCATGTGAAAAAAAATCAAGCAATGACTGCTTTATTAATTATAATTTTATGTATTATTATTAAGGGTGATTCACTAATTTTATGACAAATATCGTCAGGTGAAGAAGCAGGTCAGATGCAACAAAAAAGTTCATATGAACCATGGTCCAATTCTCAACCCTTTCGCAGTCATTAAACATTTTATATTTTATTAATCCACATATGTATTCAGTAGCCAAAATTGACCTTGGTAATTATTTCCATTAATTATAGTTTTTCTACAAGGTCTTGGTTGAGATGAAAAAGTAGTGTCAAGAGCGGGATTCGAACCCACGACCTTCGGCTCAATACGCCGCTCCTCTAACCACTAGATCGTGACTTCGATCCACTCCTGTTTTGTTTCGTTTTTCTTACAACTATTTATGGTTTTTGTCATAAATCTACTCTTGAACTATTCATTTTTGGAGAAATAAAAAGCGTTAAATTCCTATTGAGCAAGCACCTTTTTAGAATTTCAATTTAATTTTGGTATCTGGTAATAAAAGAAAACATAAAAAAAGAAAGATTCAATGTAAAAATTAAAAAAAACATAAAAAGAGACAATAAACGTAATGAACAACCAAATTGAATGAATTTCTCTTTTTTGTACTTTTTTTATTAGATTATAGTTAGTTTCTACAAGTTCTGTATTGTTGTTCCTTTTTTGTCTGTGCTTGGTGTAGATGTTTTCTTCAATTTTTCTGCTTTGGTTGTCCGTTATGTTTACTGTCGCTTATTTATGATTTTTGTTTAATTTTTCTTCCTTCTTTATTGAGTTAAAGTTGAACTAAATTTTGCCCAGGACAAAAAGTTGAAGGAACCCCATCCTCCTTTTTCACATCGCCACCATTTTTTCCCCATTTAGCTTAAAATTTACGCATTTTGGTTTGACGTAATTAAAGAAAAGGGTATACCGCTAGAAAGCTTATTAAAGGAAGAAGTTATGAAATATGCCTAACTCTACCGTGAACCTTTCCAATGAAATTTAGTATTTTTTCATTAATTTAGTGTTTGTTTTTTACCATAAATTAAGTAGAACGTTCTATAAAGGCACCTTAAAGGAAAATAAAGCACTCTTCAATGCTTTTTTTATGTCAACAAAAACAAATTGTTCATGACTAGTAGATTAATGACGAAAAGCCTAGAAAGCTGAAAACAGGTTGAATTCTGCGAAAGGGTTAAGAATTGAACCATGGTTCATACGAACTTATTGTTTTGTTTTGAGGTGTAGAAGCACCTGACGGAATTTATCATTCGAATAGCGAATTACCCTGTATAAATGGAATTATCCATTTTAACTATTTATTACATTTGCTTAAATCAATTGTAAGAAACAACGCGTGCGTTTTTTATTTAAAAAAAAATTTAAAAGCCATTAACATATATAAACTTCTGTGGGCTCGTGCTTTGGAAAAAAGGTCGGTATTGGAGTCACAAAGCTTTCTCATGCCGCTATTTGAATGCGAAAGAAGACAGGATTGTGGCCGACCTATTTAGGCAGTTCTTCTTTGTCGACATTGCGCCATGGTGGGAAAAACTTACATAGGATCTTGAAGTCTTAAAGTGTAGGCGCTTTTCAATAATAGACACACCTGACAATGAAAGTTTTGTTTAATATTGTCTTATTAGTTCTTTAGTGTGAGTGTTCGTTGAATGCAATAATTTAAATTCCTTCATAATTACTAATTAGTGGCATTGCTTTAGGTAAGACTGGAAGGAGTGGACATCAACCGTATATGTTATACACGTGGCCCTCGTAAAGGACAGCATGCCCACAGGGCCGGTTTTCGATTAATAGTGTAGATGAAGGGTCACGGGCCGTTCTAAAAAGAATTCAAAACGGGCTTCAAATCATCCAGTGACTGGGGGAAGATCCGTGATATGTTTTAGGATGCCCATAAAATAGAAAGAAACTACGGATTTTCGGGTTATTTATTTTCTTGTGAAAGAGTACGTAAAAATAACAAAATTTAACAACAAATGTTTTTTACTCGTTATTTTGTTACAAAATTTTATTAAATTTAAGGGTATATTGTTTAAAACTCTTCTTTAAATGACTTTCTGTATAAGGCAGAAAAGTTTAATAGAGAATATTGCCTATAAGTATTGATTTTTTCTTTTTTAAATAAAAAATTGCCAGAGGAGATAAAGAGTAAATAATATAAAAATTCAGAAAATTCAAATTTTTAATAAAAGGAATCGAAAAAATGTTGAGTAAAACTATTGCATCTCACCATCTTCAACAGTCGTCAGGGTTGTAAGCAGGGAAAGACGCCGACACAGATCCACCTCTGTGGACGGTAAGGAACCGAAAAGCGTCAGAGGAAAACAGCAACACAGACCAGGAAGACCCGAAAGTACTTACATATCTTTCAGAATACTTCTTTATATTGGTATTAGGGACACAATCAAAGGGCTAAATTTGTACTTAAAAATAATTAATCAAAATATACTTAAGTTACTAAAAATATTCATCTATTCTAAAAATACTCAAGCCAATCTAACCTTACTAAGCTTTAGGAGAATACAGCAAACCCAATTTTGCTTTGATGGTAATTTCCTGCTGAATAAGCATTGAAATTACTGCAACTTCAGTATGATTTCTTTTATTACAAGAGCAATTGAAAATTCATGATTAGTCTCGTCTACGGTTCAAAGATCAAAAGAAAGAAAGAAGTAAAGAACTAGGAGAAAGCGAATTGTTTACTTTATATTAAGATAGATAGTTAGAGAGAGAGAGAGAGAGAGAGAGAGAGTGGAAAGAGAGAGAGGGGAAGAGAGAGAGAGAGAGAGAGAGAGAGAGAGAGAGAGAGAGAGTTAGTAAAAGAAAGAGAGAGAGAAAGAGAAAACAAACAAAAAGAGATAGAGAGAGAGTGAGAAAGGGAGGGATACAGAGGAAGACAGAGGGGGGAGAGAGTAAGTAAAAGAAAAAGAGAGAGAAAAACAATATATAATTCGAAATTTGACTGACTTTGTCACAAGTATGAATAATCAACTTTCTTCTTGATGCCTTCGTACTTTGTTGCAAAAAGTATTAAGGCATCAAGTAGATTATTCATACTTTTGACAAAGTTAGTCAAATTTCGAATTATATATTTGTTCTCTCCCTCTCACTCTCTCTCTCTCTCTCTCTCTCTCTCTCTCTCTCTCTCTCTCTCTTCCCTCTCTCTCTCTTTTGTTTGTTTTCTCTTATATATATACTAAAAAAAATTTACTTTTGCCCGAGCACAGACCAAAACGTAGAACTTGAAATTAAATTTTTTTTAAATCGAAAACTATTTTCGTTTCAACCAAAAGTATATTTTTATGAACCTGTAGTTTAGTCGTTTCTGGTCGTATTCGGCACATTCTCCCTGTTTTGGTCTCTCAGATGGGGTTCCTAGCAATGTTCGTGGATATGTGTCCCCCTGACGATGATTGACCCTGACAATCTGGGGGTAGCAAAACGCTGAAATGCATTTGGCAAACCAAAATACCGTGGATAGACAGACCTAAATGTTCGGAAATCACCAAAGTAAAAGTACATTCCTTTTTTTTCTTTTTTTTTAAACCATTTGTATGTCGGGTTCGAATGCAGGGGCGCTGGATTCGAACCCGGGACCTTTACCTTATAGTGATGAGCGCCATGTCAACGCCTAAACCGTTGCGGCCACCGACGCTCCCAGTACATACCTTATGACTGTAATTTTGGGATTGAGCATCGCCCTACTTTAATCTTGATGATTGTGAAAAGCCCGAAACGCTTAGACCAGATAGACCAAACTGGTAGGATAAGACGGCCAAAATATTCGGAAATGACCAAACTAAATAGCATTTTTTATGTAAAGTTGGGAGTTGAGCCTCCCAATTTATAACTATGATGATGACGAAAGTCCAAAACTGAAATTGGCAGACCAAAGTATTTTCATAAGCGAACAAAAAACGAAAAAAAAATGACAATTGTTGAAAATGCTAAACCTTAACCCTAAAAATTAGTGAACATATATTGCCAAAAAGACCAAAAAATTATTATTATAAAATTAAACTTCGTCAATTGAGCATATTGCGAGATTTCTATGCTATTGTTTATCAATATGGCAAGAATTTTTTACCATGTTTTTTAACTATTTTCACGGTGTTCAGAAGTGAAATTCATGCGTAAACCGCGTGCATGTCGTTTTCACGCGGGTTTGTTTTCGTTTTCGAACCGGGCATCGCGACGCCGCAGACCAAGCGGAAAGAAAAGAAGAGAAGAAAGAAGAGGAAGATAGAAGAAGAGGGAGGCGAAGAGCGTTTGTAGGTTAGTGTTACCTGTGCCCCCTCCGCTCTTCTTCCATCCCCCCACCCGTCATCATCGGAGGCCGGTGTTTAGGGGCATTGCTCTTCGGTACCCCGTCAAGAGAGTACCGAACGCCCGTCGCTGGATCTTTCGTATTTTTATTTTTATTTTATTATTATTATTTATTTATTTTTTATTTTAAAGACCCGAGGGAGTGTTGCACAATAAACCGAGAGCTATGGTACGGTGGAAAATTAAGTTGTGACTATTGACAGTGTTCTTTTTTTTATCTTTAATTTTTTGGAGCAAAAAATTCATAAGTGTTGGCGTGTTATTTTCCGAATCGGTACGAGTCGGAGTTGACTAAGAAGATTGTGTCCTGCCTTCAAGATTCTTCAAAACCACCTCCTGGATAACATTCCTTTAAAATCGGTAAGTTTAATTTTCCCCCATAATTTTTTATACATATTTTTTTTTCTTGTACAAAATAATAACGTAAATAGACCATAAATTTTATGTCGTCGATTAACATTTAAATTGCCTACATTCGACCCCCCCCCTACGAAGCCTAAACCCGGAGCTTCAAAGTAGGCTACCGAGATCCTGGACGACGAAGTAGGACACCCGAGTAGCATCCTGGTCTGATCGTCCACATCCTTCCCCCTCTTCAGGGACGAGAGACTTGAACGCCCTTAGAAAAGGAGTCGCCCGTTTTCTGAAGGCAAAGATTTAAAAATGGAAAAGGGGCGGGGGTGGCAAAACAGAAACACCAAGGGCAAGGCGAATGTCAAAAAACCCGTTGCTAAACAATTTTTTCACAAACGATGCGAAATCTTGCAAACTAGATTTTCCCAAAGCATAAAAAGATTCCTTTTTAAAAGAACAAGACTTAGCTTAAATTACAATACTGACTAAATTACCGCAAACAATTCAGACTACCATCACAACAATCAAAGATCATTCAAAAACGTACCATAATAACTTGAAAACTTACAATCAAAAAACCTTCTTTGAGAATTTACAGATACACAATATCTTTAGTAAACACTTTATTTAGTACGTATATACTTTTGATCAAAATCTTCCGAGGCAGGAGTCAAGGCAAATGACTGATTTTTTTTTTTTCAATGAAACGCAAAAAATCTTCACTTAAGATACCGGTTGTGAATTAGGAAGTTCTTCTTTTTGTATATATTATATTTCAGGAAAAATTAAACATTTTAAAATAGTTATTTGTTCTGCTGGTAAGGTTCAGGGTGACCATGATTCCGTCAAATTTCATAATTAAGTTCTTATAAATTTAAAAAACTATAGGCATTTAAAAATCCTTATAGGAAACCAATTTTACTACCTTGTTTTACTTTGAGTATCAAAATCTCAATTTCGCATAATGATAATATTGTTATTTTAGTAAATATTTGAATATAGTGATTCTATGTATTGAAAATTTTAATTGAATATCTGAAATTCGGAAGTTTATGGGATTTAGAAAGTTTTGAAAAAATCATGTGATTTTTTTTGTAATTTAAATATGAGTATTTTGGTGCACATTAATTTTTTTAAGGTTTTACACCGGTTTTTCTTTATTTTCCGGATAGTAGGATAGCATAAAATCCATAAAGATATGATAAAATATTTTCTTTTTTGAAATTAATTTAATTTCTTTTTAACTGGCCAATTCAATCTAAAAACTACCTACTTTACATCCTCCCCATAATTAATAATTAATTCATGACGAGATTCAATTTTCAATTATTAGGTACACGTAAATTCCAGTTAATACATAGTATTTATAGTACATTGTTAAAACTTATACGGCTTATCTTTATTTTTTAACTTAAAACTTATAGGGCTTAGAATGAGCTTTTTTTCTACTTTATAGTGATTTGTTTATACTTAGCACATCAAAATTTATAATACAATATTTATCGTTTGTCGGTAAGTATCATTTATTTCCTGCAATCTTACTTTATTCAAGTTATCAATTTGAAGAGAAAATATAAAATTTTATATTTTTTACATCCAATTTTCCCCTAAAATTGCAGTCATGACCGGTTGGAAAATTACAACGTTGATCATTTGTCCAAATACGATAGTTTAATTATTTTCGCTGAGGAAGGTTGATATTTCCAATGAACCCTCTTTCACAATGACCAGTCCCTGCCAGTAGCTAACTCTCGATCTGACCCGATAATAAATGCCGTTGCCCTTTATGATTGATACAATAAATTATTTGAATATATATAAATATTTTAAATATCCAAATCAATTATCAAAAAAATGCAATATTTAAATTTTTAGTATTATAGTTTAATTATTATTATTGTTGTTGCAATAAATTTTTTTGTAGCAATTTAATTTAGTTTATAATTGTTATATCTGTAGTATCGTTAAAATTTTAAATTATTTATAGCAGTTATTAATCTTCGAAATTACGTGATAATGGGATAAATCATTTTCCCTTATTTTTAAGAGTTTTTTCTTGAATTTCTTTTGTGTGTGTATCTGTTTGCCGATGTGCCGAAGGGGATTTTTTTGAGACAAAGTTTGGATGCAACCCCCTCTTCTCGACTGATTCGAAAGCCACTCCGCTACCATCAAAAAGGGGAGAAAAAAATTCCTCCGTTTTCCTCCCCAGTGACCTACTTGAGCCACGATTCTTCCACGGAGTTCTCGTGGTGCGACAAAGAAGAATTAGTTACGATATTTTGCATGGTATCAAAAAGTCATTAAATTATTTTAAAATTAAAAAAAATAATGAAAAATTCCCTTTCAGTGTTTACAGGGTTGATATGTGAAATTTTTTACCCTCGTTGTTTATAAAATAAAATTTTCCTTTAACAATGTTTTGTCTTGTACCATCAAAATTAGGCACAGGATTGGATGTACAACAACATCCAAAATGTCAAAAACAAACAAAAGTTCTTACACATCAAGCCAAACTTCATCCTATGAATTTTCCCATCGTTTTGACATAACTCCAAGAAATCTTGAGAATTTTATTGTCAGACAAAGAAGATTTTTAAGGTATCATCAAATGACACGTCAAAGTCTATTCTGAACTGTTAGTGTGCTATAAAATATACTAATTAAATTTTATTGATCCGTAAAATATTTTAGAGTCAAAATTATCATCTCCTTTGCCTGTGCGTTACGGGATTTCGTCATTTAGTAAAGTTTAAGCAGGGAGAGGCATCGACCAAAAACTCGCACCTGATAAAAAGTGAATAGCCGAAATTCGTCTTAAAGCCCATAATAGCGAGGACTGGTAGACCTGAAGAAGACATATCCCAAAATTATAAAAGTATATCTGTGCATTACGGCGTTTTGCCATTCTATTGCTGTAAGGATATAAGCAGGAAGAGGCACCGACATAAGCTTACCACTGAAGATGGCGAAGAGCCGAAACTCGTCCTGAAGACCAAAATATCTACTTCGTGAAGAAGAATTTTTTTTAAATTACAAAAGTGCGTCTGTGCATTATGGCATTTTGTCACTTTCAGTGTTTGCCAGGGTTATAAGCTGAGAGAGGCACCTACAAAAAGCCGTGTTCGATGAACGGCCGAGATCCGAAACACGCCTTACAAGCAAAAATAGCGAGGGCTGACAGAACTCAAGACGAAATCTCTCTTCAGGGGTTGTCAGGGATATAAGCAGGAACAGGGACCGACAAAAAAAACCACGTATTTCTAGAACGGGTAAAAGCCTATATTCATTTTAAATATCAAAATAGCGAGTAGTGGCAGAGTTCAAGAAAAATTTTCTAAATATATTTTGTCATATTTTATCACTCATTTATAAGTATTTATTTTTAAGAGGCTCAAAAAGCTACGTCAATTTCGTTTATTAAAATACAGGCAAAACTGAATCAGAACCTCACGCAAAAAAAAAGAAAGAAAGTTTTACATTCTTAAAAAATCAACACTTTCTAATAAAAAATTTCTAATGGTACAACTGATCAATTGTGTTGAACAACTCTTTGTTATAATATGTCATATTAATTTAAAACTAAAAAAAAAGAATATACAAGCTATTATAAATAAATGTAAATATAATAGTATTTCTTAGAATAATATTAATAAAGAAATATTATTCAACATATTAATTTAAAACTAAAATAAATTAATATACAAGATATAAATAAATGTAAATATAAAAGTATTTCGTAGAATAATATTATTAAATAAATATTATTCAAGAACTATTTATCTATCTGTCTCATCCATAATTTTAGGTTGAACGTTTTTGCTTTTTGTCCTTTTCTACGATTTAACAACAGTAGCTAATGATTGATTATTTGTTTTCGATAAAATTGGCTTATAAAACGTTATGAGAGTTATATTAGCACGCTATAATGGCAAAGGTAATTTTGATGTTGCTTGTTTTTAGCTTTGCACAATTGTATCTCAGCTTTTTGAGCATTTGCAAGGAATTTCGGTTAGGCAAGATTTCAGGCTGAGGAAAAAATGTCCATTGAAGGACCAAGGAGTCCATTATTCACAAATTGAGGAATGTGGAAAATGCCCATAAAAAATCCACCAAATGGAGGTTTTTCGGGAGGCTCATGGACCAAACGCCCGAATTTCCATCAGTTTAAAAAAAATGTAAATTTCGTATTTTCCTATGTCGTACAGTAGTCCATTTCATAGAGCAAGAATTAGGTTTCTTTAGAAGTTGAAGATTTTCGTGTCAAGTAGGTGTTGCTTTATATTCTTAGATTTGTATAGGTTTTGGTTGAATTTTATTAAATGTTTTAAGAAGTTATTGTGAAGAAGTGAATTGTTTAAAATGTCCGAAGTCTTTTGATATTGAAAACTGAAATGAATAATTCTCCTGCGGCACGGATCTTTTTCTCTCTAAACCTTTGGGGTTCTTTACTTCAGAGAAAACTTTCTCTTTTTTTCTTTCTCCCATGACGAGTTGAACCTCTTCTTTCTCCCACCGTGTACTTTCATCGAAACTAGAACGGCGGCCTCCATTCGAACGGAGATAGATGGAGGTTGGGGGGCGCGAGGATCCAGTGGCTAAGTGGGCATCTCCCTCCTTCGCGAGTGTATCTCAGGAGGCGTTTTACCCTCGTTTCGCAGGGGAATCGGAGCATAAAAGTAAAACGTAAGTCTAGGGAAATGCTCCAGCGAGCCCAGACAATAAAAACCTATTTAGATTCCGAGAGATGGCGTTTTTGATGGGCGAACGAGCCTCGGAAAAAAATTCGCCTCAAACCTCCAATTAAAGGAAATGACTCCCCAATACATAAGCAATCTAGAAAAATTCCCCTAAAAATAGAAATTCTAAAATATTTGATTTTTAATTGTTTAATACCAAAGAGACCATAGTAGACTGATAAATTTTCCTGTTTGTAGACCAAAAAGAAAAAACATGAATGAACATTCTATGAATTTTCCCATACCCATCGTGCTAAAAATAAATTT